CTCCCCGCCGCAGCGGCGCCCGCGGGGGGGCACACGAAGCGGCGCGTGCACACGGGGACACGCGGGGACACACGGGGGGCACATGGAGTGCACACGGGGGGCACACAGGGGACACACGGGGGTGCGCGTGCAGCCCCCCGCTCAGTTCTGGAGGGCGGTGGCGCCACCTGGTGGCGGCGTCCGGGACCGCGCGCTCCCGGTGCCCTGGGCCGGTGCTCGGTGCTCAGCGCCCGGTGCCTTGGGGTGCTTCTGCTCCCGCCAGCGCAGGGGAAGGAGCCGGCGTCGAGGCCGCAGCAGCTCGAGGCCCCGGGGTGCTCAGCAGGGTGTCCCGGGAGATGCTGCCGGTAGCGGGGAGCAGACGCGTGCGCACACACACACGTGTGCACGCACACGCATTACCTCGAGTGGCACATGCACCAGCACGGACGCTGCACCCCAGAGGGCACCCAGGCAGCACAACATGCACAAGCACGCTCAGGCTTGCACAAACATGCATAACTCTCCCTTCCATCCACACTCCTTGCCCAGGGTCCCGCACGGAAAACCCTGTGCCCCACCACGTGCACACCCAGGGCAAGCCGATGGAGCAAGAAGCCCCGATGCGATCCTCCGGCTTTGCACCAGTCATCTGTGACATCCCTCCTCACCGCTCCCCGTGCCACAACTGGCACCACTGAGCTCCGAGGGCGTCAGGGCCACAGCAGCTGGTGACCTGGGGCCCGCCTGGAACCAGTGCCTGGGCTCTCCCCGCACCTCCCTGGTGTGTCCCTTCCCATCAACCAGCAGCCTGCTCTTCAGTTTTTAAAAATTTTATTTATAACAATATCTGTTTTGTTTAGTTGTAAAGTAATCCAGCAAAAATTATTAAAACATTTCCCCCCAATAAAAGGATGGGGTCGCCCCCCGCCCTCCCCCCACATGCGTTTATTTATTTCTACTATAAAAGCTAGGTCATTTCCATGTTTTCATTTTCTTTTTTTTTTTTTTTCCTGTTAAAAAATGTGCATGTTGGAGAGTAGGCGAGGTGCAGGCGACAAGCCGGAGCGAGGGGCCGCAGGGCTGGGCCCGCCAGGGACGGGGACCCTCCACACCGCAACGGGGCTGGGGGCAGCGGTGGGGGCCTTTGTCCCTGTCCCCTGTAACAGTCGGGCAGAGCTGAGAATGGCAGGGAAGGAGGGAGGGGATCAGTGGAGGAAAAGGTGGGGAGGGAGGGGAATGGAGGGGCAGAGGGAGGTTTGCAGAGGCCACACTGCAGAAGAAGGGGGGACTCGG